CCCAGGAAGGGGAAAGGACCAACCCAGCTGCCGCGGGGCCGGTGGCCGAGATGAGTCAGCTCCCAGCTCCTTGCCGCTGCCTGCGTCCAAGCCAAATATTTGCGCAGCTCATGGCACGTCTGCCCGAGCACCGAGCTCTCGGTAAGCCTGCCCCGGCCCCAGCCAAGCGACAAGATTCTGAGCGCAGGGATTTTAGTTTTTTTTCTTGGATTGTTTGACAGGGACAGAGAAATGCGGCTGCTGAGAGCAAACGGGTGCTACTCGCTGCCCTGAGCATCCTCATCCTTGAGCTTCGTCCTCGGAGCCCGCGGCATCTCCTTCCCTTACCCAAAGAGCCCGGGGCTTTGCCGAGCTTGCCCGACTGAATAGCGAAGGAGAGACGAGGCCCTTTACCTTCCTGTGGGATCCTGCTCTTCTCTGCTTCCTCGATAAATAAGGAAAACATGTTGGTCTTCACGAACTTCTTGACGAACTTGCGGTTGGTCTTGGAGGCGACGGCTTTGCAGAAGGCTCGCTCCTGGAAGGCGCCTGAGCCGTTTTTACTCCACTTGATGTGCGAGGCGTAGTGGCCAACCAGCCGGACGAAGAATTGCACGAAGGCTTCGGAGACGAGCGCGTTCAGCTGATCGGGTGCTGGAAGAGGACACGGAGCATGAGAGGTTGGGCTGGGACCCCTGAACATAAACAGGACGGGCTTACTTTAACCCGTCCGGTTCGCAGTCTTGTTTGCAGCCCAAGAAGTTATTTGTTTAAAACCTCCCTCTGCCAGCAAACCAAGATCTGACTAATGTTGCTGAGGGAGCTCTGGCTGCGTTTGCTTGCCAGGGTGGTGGCATCTTTGCAGGCCAAATACTGGCAAAAGCTGATTTTTTATTATTTTTTTTTCAGCAGAATTAGCTGTTCCTGCTCTCATGTTTCGCAGGACAGGGGAAAGGCCAAGGGATTTCCCTCCCGTGGCTGCATTTTGTTGCAAATTGGAGCAGAAACATCCCAGGCCAGGTCCCTTTAGGAAAATTGTTTCGCTGAGGACTCTGGCCATCTGCGGAGGGCAGCTGCGTGCGTTTTCCTGTCCATAAGGAGCCTTACTGTGCACGTTGTTGTTGTTGTTGTGCCTGTTCAGGGCCATCAGAATCTCGTTCTGCAGCTTGATGGGCAAGATCTCCTCCTCATCGCCGACCTACGAGGCGCCGGGGTTGTGGTTAGCGCAGCCCATCAGCGGGGCTTTCTGCAGAGCTCGTTAATTAATTGTCGTTGCGGGGTGCTGCAGCGATGCCCAACCCACGGACCCCGCTGCGACAAGGCAGATAAAGGGGACAGAGACATCGCTTCCTGGGTAACACTGAGATATTTCTATCCCCAAAATGGGAAAGCTGAGGGGGCTGGAGGGGGAAAGGGACCCTTCCGGAGGCGACCCAGGCCAAGCGAGCTCACCCCCAGCCCCGACACCGGCACAGAGGGACCTACCGCCTGGATGAGCTTCCCTTCGCAGAGGTCAACTATCAGAGCCTGAAAGAGAGCAGAGAGCGACGAGGTTTAGCCCTCCTGAGGTAATCAGGCTTCCTCCCACCTGATTTGGGATCGGACCGGTGTGTCCACAGCCTGCGAGGCGGGCAAGAGAGGGTCAGATCGGTCTCTCTGTGCTGGAGGGACCTGGGTTCCAGGGCATCCCCCTCCCCGGGGATTGTGTTTGTTGCGGGTGCGGGGGTTTGTCCCCAAGCAGCTTTTCTCCACTTCTGCAAGGTTGGGATGATGCCAACAGCAGATACCCGAGCCCTCAAGCTCAGGGCTGCAGCTCCTGGGGCGGTCGGCAGCACCCACGGGGACGTGGGGATGTTGTCCCAGGTGCCAACAGGGGGTGACGTGCAAGAAGCCCCAATCTCCAGCCTCCCTGGATGGGAAAAGGGCACGCCCAGAGCCTTCAGCCCAAACCCAGGGTGACAGATTAACCGATGGCTCCCCCCAGCCCGGATAAAATACCTCCTCCATCGGCTGGTCCAGGACCCGCTCCAGGTGCCGCATCTTGATGCCGACCATGAAGGGCGTGGGGCAGCAGACGGTGTCGAGCAGGCACTCGGGGACCACGGGGATGTAGGTGTGAGCCCAGGTGAAGGGGTAGAGGAGAGCAGCGACGGCGTGGATGCACTGCGACAGGGCGCTGTGGGACAGGAGCCACCACGGTGGCATCGCGTGAGGAAAGGGGACTTTGCTGGTCAGAGGGGACATCCCACCCAGATCTCACCTGTGTCCTGCACTCCTTCAAGGGTTTCTTTCTGGTTTTCTTTTTAAATAAACAGATCAGGACTCACCTCAGCTCCTCCGCCAGGAAAATGAGCCGTCGCTCCAACACGGCAGAGGCGAAGATGTGCAGGATGAGGTGGGGACTGAGCCGCTGGAGCAGAGCCTGAAACTCCACGTGCTCCAGGTGAGCATCCACGGGCCGAGTGAGCTCGATGAGCTGCCGAGAGACACCAAACCCCAGCTCAGGAGGGGCAACGCTCCCCTCCCCAGCCTCCCGAGAAGGTGATTTAGAAGCAATTAATGACCAGAGTTTGCAGCCTCTGCATCACATCCCTCTGCAAGGGACAAACCTCATCCTGTCCTGCCTGGAGATGTGGGCTGGGCAGCACTGAAGATGCAAGCGAAGGATGCACACCAGGCGGTTTCTTTATTGGGGTGCTTAGTTTTTAACCAAAAATGCTTCTTTTCTCCAGCACTCACAAGAGGGGATGTGCCCCCATCCCAGCAGCTGACATCAGTGAGCAGTAGCAGAGAATGTTGCCCAGGAAAGGGAGGAGGGACGGGGGCATGACATTTGCTGTGAAAACCACAAAAACTTCCTCAAAAAGCCTCTCCAGGAAGGCCAGCTCGCCTCGTCCTAGCTAGGATGGCCTAAAAGTGAATTATCTCATGGATATTTGCAGGTGGCTTTGCCCCAGGCAAGAGTCTCCCAGATCCGGTCGATACCTCTGCCCTGCTCTGGGCAGCCCCGAGACAGCGACCGCTGAAGGGTTAACAGGACTGAGAAGCTCAGGACACAGTCCTGGGTCCCCTCCTCAGCTTTAAAGGGTGGGCAAAATCCCTCTCCTCCATGCGTTCCAGCAAAGCAGCATCCTCCCAGCCAGCAGCACTGGGCTGGGCTGGTCTCCACAGCCCCTTTCCAGCACAAATCCTGCACAATTCCCAGCTCTCAGGGTTTATATTCACCCTTTCCTCTGTTTTCTCACTGCTTTCTTCGACTCTCTCCAGCTCTGCCCAGAGCTCCTGCATAGCT